CACTTGTGTCAATTTCTAGGTCCCAAATGTTAGCGATTTAGCTCCTTTAAATGGGTACGCCACGGTTGTCTGGCGTCCTATATACTGTCCCGATAGAGAAAAAAAACCAAATTCTTTTTCAAACCAGTATTCAGAGACACCCGTATATCTGAGGTAACGGCCGGTAGGTTAATTTGCTAAAACACAAAATTTGAGATTTCACACAATACATGTACTACGTTTCAGTTTTACTTATGCATTAATAAGCCTGATGTACACGATTTTGTTTTTGAATAGCAAAACAAAAACCGTTTTCATCACATACTATTCGTTTATCCATGGACCTTATTGGGACGACGAGGGTCACGGGTCACGAAAAGCCGAGGTCCCATGTACACACTGGTGTGCACGTAAAAGATCCCTTGACAGTTCGAATTCGATATAAGAGTAGGCCGCACACTGTATGGCATATGCCCGTCTTCATTGGCCCAGTAGGAGCAGAAAAGTTGGACGTTAAACCCCATTTCAGTTCATTTCATTTATAGGGTCGATGGTTTATCTTACCCACTAGGTACCCAGATCACCGATTTATTCTACATTACGATCAAGTTACAGTGGGTTTTTTTATTATTAATTTATACCAAGAAATTGTTTTTAAAACATTACTCGGCATACATCTGGGCCCCACTATAGACCCCGGGGCCCTGGACAGTGTCTCATTTGTACACCCTTCTCCAGGACCTTGTCTAGATGCCAATTTAACACCAGCAGGAACTGGAAAGAACCTATAGCATCAACACGACGTCCGGGGCGGACTTGTCTTAATTACTATCATTATTTTGTCTTAATTATTTTGGCATGTGCACCATAAATGAGACACAATATTATGCAGTTATACGTGTATGTCATGTATTGCAAATTAAACTGGACTTACGACAATTTGGAATTTATATCCGGATATTTTCCTGGAGATACGAGTTTTCAGAGTTACAGAAGAATTACGATTTCACGAAATATAACCAATTAAGCAGAGAATTAATTTACTGTTCCTGAGAATATCAAAGAATATTGTAAGGGGTTAAAAGGTTAAAATCTCCATTTATATTTAAGGTTCTTTGGACATATATATATATATATGAAATTAGATCTAGAACGAAAGATAATCAAAATAAGCAATCTGTTGTTGAATGTTAATGCAATACTTTAATATGGAATGCTTCACATTGAAAAATTAACACAAAATGAAAACATCAATGCAGGCCCGTAACTATATCATGACTATATTTCCCAAGGATCTCGGTTCCTTTCATTATTCGCACATATCAGACCATAACTTCCTGGATTATGGCCCCCGATTGTACGATAAATCACATTTTTAGCTTGTGCAGGTCACACTTTTTATCTGATTTTGAAAACAGTTCAAATATATCACCGTTACTCCATGTTGAGTTCGAATGTCGGGAAAATGGAAATGAAACTGCCCGACAAAATAGTCGCTACTTGTACACAAATATTGTAAAAGTATGTAATGCATTTTAGACCATAACTTCCTGGATTATGGCCCCCGATTGTAAGAAATATCCCCGTCTTCATTAGCCCAGTCGGAGCAGAACAGGGCGTCAAACCCCATTTCATTTCAATTTCATATGTACAAAATATTGCGGGGGAGTGGGTGGAGCGGGGGATTGTTTCCCCCCGGACGAAGGGGGGGTGGCGAGGTCGCCGGGCTCTGAGGCAGACAAGCTGCCAGGCCCCAGTGACAAAAAGAGACCCTAGGGCGAGGTGGGTCTCGCCTATCGCCAGGGGCAGTGAAAGTTTAAGGGGTGGGTGGGGTGGGAGATTCTCTCCCCCGGACGAAGGGGGTAGCGGGGTCGCCGGGCCCTGAGGCAGACTAGCTGCCAGTGACAAGAAGACACCCTATAGGTCGGGGTTTGTGTGTGTGGGGGGGGGGGGTGTCTCTACTATCGCAGAGAGGGGGCCAGGTCCAGTGGGAAGGGAGTTCCACTGCCAGTCCGGGCCCAATAATATCGATTCGCGATTCTTGTTAAGCGAGCTGGTTGACTGAGAAACGGGGGCCTGACGGAAATATTGGACAATTAACAAGACCGCTACCTGTCAGCCAGAAATAATATATCGGGTTTCGGGTTATGGAAATATTTCTGGTATCAACTTCCCGCTGCCAACCCATCCAACGTGGAATCGTTGATATCACTGTTTTTGCTTCTGACCGATGCCCCTTGGGGTCCCCCTACCAAATAATTTCAAAACTCATCGAAAAAAGGCCACTATGTTTCACGATTTTTGGGAAATGGGTCTTCATTATTTTTTTTTTCTACAAAATATAAAAGTAATATTTTTTTGTCACCAAATCGTCGGGCCCGTTCGGAGCCCGGGCCCAAAGCATTTGCCCCTGTTGCTATCGCCATGATCCGTCACTGCTCCTCCCTTGGAAATTTTTGAAAATTTGACGGTCGCAAACACGTTTTCCAGCCCAGAAAATAGTTCTGTAGCGAACTATGAACAATGAACATACCGACAAGACAGGGGCCCCACGACAGTGGGCCATTGGGCAAGTGAGTACAAAATATATGGCAGATAGATGTCAGAACATAACTAATAATATGAGACTGTGTGCAAGGTGCCACGTCCCGAAATCAATAATCCACATGATGATTCCTGACTGCTGTCTACAAACAGTAGGTATTTTAGAACTATGGTCTGCAATTCTTTTTTTTCGTGGGGAGGGGGGGGGGGCTTGCCCCCGTCTGGCTACGGGGTGCTACCAGTGGCAGTGCTTCTGGTGGGACGTTCTTAGCCGCATAACACTGGCTGAATCATAAAATTTGACTGAAAAATATCATAAAAAATCATAAAATTCCACTGGAAGCTCCCATAAAAATATAAATTTTTGACACTTATTAACATCTACACAGAGTTTAAACATTCTACCGCAATTTCCAAAGTCTTGACCAATCAAATTGCTTATCGCTACTGAGCCTAAACAGATAATGCCTTATGGCCTAAAGTTCTAAGATTTTCACATGACGCGTGTATCTAAAAATAGATCAGGGAAATGGGTCCATAGATTTACCCAAAACAACATGTATTTCGAATAAAACAACACATTTTTTTATTGTTTTGCTTTCTTTTTATATGCATAGATGATTAATATTCCCTAAAAGTTACACTTTTTCTAAAAGTTCCCCCCACCCCCCAACACATTTTTTTATTGTTTTGCTTTCTTTTTATATGCATAGATGATTAATATTCCCTAAAAGTTACACTTTTTCTAAAAGCCCCCCCCCCCCCCAAACAAAAACCCAAAAAACGGAAATATATGGAAGAGCAAGCCAAAATCCCAAGGTATAGATGTAATGTAACTATGCACCAAGTTTCATCACTCTCACTTAATTAGAACTAAAGTTATCGTGTCCAAAAGCATCAACCAATCAAATTGCTTATCTCTGCTTACCCTAAGCAGAAAATGCTCATCTTCGAACTCCATCAAGGCATTGACCTAATAAACACCTACACCAAGTTTGAAGATTCTAGCCCAATTAGGAGAGTTGTGTTCCAAGGTCTCGACCAATCAAATTGCTTATCGCTCTGCTTACCCTGAGCAGAAAATGCTCATTATCGAACTTAGTCAAGGTATTGATGTAATGAAACTATACACGAAGTTTCATCACTCTCACTTAATTAGAACTAAAGTTATCGTGTCCCAAAGCATCAACCAATCAAATTGCTTATCTCTGCTTACACAAGTCGAAAATGCTCATCTTCGAACTCCACACAGAGTGAAAACTCCATCAAGGCATTGGCCTAATAAACACCTACACCAAGTTTGAAGCTCAATTAGAAAGAGAGTTATTGTGTCCCAAAAAGTGTGACGGACAAACAATAAAAATGTATTGTTCTATTCGAAATAGTTTTGGGTTGTTTTGAGTAAATCTATATGGACAGCAGGGAAATCCCAAAAATTGATTTTTCCAATAAATTGGACTTAGGACTTTTTGGAATCTCACGGACTAGTGTCTCCTATAATTGGATTAATTTCGCCGAACTTGCATCAGAGTACGTACGTGTGTTGCATCAGCTATTTGCAAACATTTATATATTAGGATCTTTATGTCTTTAATTTATACTCGCAGGATAACAGTAGAAACTTACCAATTGAAAAAAACAGCTCCGGGTTTTCTTTTTTTTTTAAATATCAATATGAAGGACAAATATTCTAGTAGAATGGTAAGTACAAAATTTTATTCACCGATCGTGCATAAATAATAGTTTATATGTACCTATAATATTAAACATAAGAATATATTTCATAGGGACCATAATGGTGGCGCGGGGAATTAAAACTAAATTATGATAATTTTAACCTCCTTCCTTTCAGCGACATGTGATTCACTTATTAGTTCCCCACTGATAAAAAAAAAAGGGTGGGAAGGGGCGTGTTTTTTTCTCGCCACCCACCCACCCGTCTGTCATTTTCGTTTAGCGGATTTTTAAAAAAGAAACTTTGGACACTGCTGTCTACAGAACAATGAATTGGATCTTAGTCTGAGATTAAGAATGTAATGTAATGTATAGAGGATATTTGTCGTTTTAGAGTGAATAACATATTTTATTTCATCGAGAAGCAAGAAAACTTATATTTTCACGAATGCGTAGCATGAGTGAAAATATAAACGTTTTCTTGCTTAGAGGTGAAAAGAAATATGTTATTCACGACAAAACGACAAATGTTCTATTTATTTTATGATTTTACAATCATTTTAGGTAAAAACAACATGGACTACTGCTAGCCAGTGGAATAACACTTTTATTTCACTGATAAAACGCGGTATTCCACTACTGATCATAAAATAAAATGTAATATACCCTTGCTAGACTGTGACTGGATGCCTGGATTGAAACCATATACTGAAAATGTTATGCTAGTGTTCAGTAAAAAAAAAATGGAAATTTGTTGCAGCTTAGAAATCGTTCTTTTCAACATTATCTCCCTTGAATCGCTCTTTTAGAAATCAAGTCAGTATTGTTGTTTCAGCTGATGCAAGAGAAAAGCCGGAAAAATTGTTATTTACAGTTTATAGATCAAATTATTTATAGGAACTTCACGGGAAAAGAACGTAAATCGATTTTCCAGTCGTCACATTATGGCCGAGGATGAATTAGTAAGTATGTTTTGCTAGATCAAACGATTCATTTGGTTCTTGCAACTTCATACAATATGGCGGCCTCCATTAAGATAAAAAGTGGCACGTGCCAGAAATAATGCGTATCAAACTATTATTCCAGATTAAACATGGCAATGCCCAGTAATACATACTTTGGAACCTTCGTCGCAGAATTACTGATTTTAGGATAAGTGAATCTCTATATTTTTTCAAGACAATCAAGTGAATCACGGCCTCACATATGGTGATCAACTACCGTACCAAACTTGTGAACTCGGCCTAGGCAGTTTCAAAGTTTGGCCACCGCACTCTTGAATCAACTCATTTTGGCTGAGAAGATACTGCAGGATTTACCAAGCCATTTTCCCACTTGTATGTAGGACTAACAATTTGTTTCCATGTCATTTCAGTGACAATAGGATGGAGAACTGAGGACCACCCATGTACAAATTGGCATGTCCATAATACTAATAGAGCTTTTGAGATGAGTAGGCAGAGAAACATTGATCTGTTGACATAATATTATTAGTGAATACAGAATCAGTTATCCAATTTTTTTTTTTCTCTCTAAAACAGTGGTTCTCAACCTTCTTTTGCCAATGGCACACCTTGGAACACACGAAAACATGGCGGCACATTTTGCAAAATAGAAACATGCCAAGTCAAACAGCATACAACCGTAGACAGAGACAAGTCAAAGACACATATAAAATGACTCAAACTTAATAAAGAAAAACACAGCTATGAACTTATAGTAGAAACCATTGAATACTTAATATGATCATGTGGTTTTTCGCATTTTCTTAGTGTGCCGTTTATTAAATTCCAGGCCTCGCCATTTGAAAAATGTTGGAGAGCCATAAACAGTCCTCCTGAAAATCCAGAGGAGAGTGATTCACTCTCCTGGAATTTAACTAAAATTGAATATATTTTGAGTGTAGGCCTATCTTTAATGGTGCAACTAAAATATATTTTATTTGTCCTAAAATATGGGCTAAAAGTCCAAATAAAATAATCTACTTCAAATGCTATCAAGTTTCTGTTTGTTTAATATCTTTAAGAAGACATAAAATTATCAAAAAAATACTGAACATATAGAATAAAAACTGACTAGTCTTCCATATATAGATCATGCATGATGGAAACAAGACTTAAAATATAACCAAAAAAATGCGTCTGCTAAATGCAGCCATCTTGCTGTGGCGAAAGACGATCCCTGTTAGCGAGGTTAGATGAGATAACGATAGATGAAGTTGTCAACTCAAGGTATTTTCATCAAGAAGATGATAAATTTATCAGTCATGGAAACAAGATTTACCGACTAAAAATAATAATTCATCTGCTAAATGCAGCCATTTTGCTGCGGCAAAAGGCGATTCCTGTTCGCGAGGTTAGATGAGATAACGCTAGTATCGAAGATCGGTCATATTACGTGATATTGACATAAGCGGCCCAGTTGTTCAGCTTGCAGTAACCGAAGAATTCCGAATGTATGAGCCGTTTATATCAACATAATGTCATAAAATGTCGCCACGTGATCAACCGTCTTCAAACTAGTGTTCTCCCGTTTTAGTCGATAACAAACCACGGAGATCCAATTCAATGAGTTCATTGTTTTTTGATGACTCTCAGATTCGTAAGGAGCGTGAATATGAACGCTCCTGACACGATATTTAGGTGCGCGATGGAGCTCCTAAAAAAGCAAGCCCTGAAATTCTGCAGCACACTTCGGAAGATCTCGCGGGACACCTGTCTGCCACGGCACACTGGTTGAGAATCACTGCTCTAAAACTACGCCGTGGCGGTTGAGAATCACTGCTCTAAAACTATGCCATGCCTGATCTCTAGCACAGATATTCGCTTCAAGGCTCAATTAAAACGATTCCATGTCATTTCGGTCCCACGTCATTTCAGACTTACGACATTTCAGACTCCCAAAAATATGGCCTCAAAGTTTCTGACTCGGGCAGGTGACATTTGGACTCAGGTAGGTGACGTTTCGGACTCGGGAATAAGTTGAAAGGAAAGGTTGAACACAACTGTCAAATCAATTTATAATAAGCCAGAAACAATTTTATAAAATGAAAATGCAGGTAAAATTTACAGCTCGCCATCAAGTACAGCACGTAAAGTCATGGATCACGCAATGACCTCTTTAGGAAGGCAAAATTTCCGATGTTGAATGTTTATGAAAATAATGTTGAATGTAACAATGTGTAATGTTTCTGAAAATAATGTTCAAAGTTGAATGTTTATGAAAATAATGTTGAAAAATAATGTTGAATGTTTACGAAAAGAATGTTTTATTTATATGTATATAAAATAGTTGCTGATGAATATATTAGAAATAGTCTGAAACGTCGCCAGACGGCGAGTCCGAAGGGTTGTCAAACTGAGTCCAAAAGGTCGTCTGTGTTGAGTCCGAAATGACGCGGGACCAAAATGTCGTACTACCAATTAAACTGGTGGTGTATTTTTTTAGACATACAGTTTTATGAAACAAAATCTTTATTCATGTGCCAAATTGCCATCTTGTGTCCAGAAGCTGTGATTCAATTATAATGTCTTACAGGACAGCCATTAGAGCTGGGTAAAATATTGATATAAATCGATAGTATCAATTTAATAGGTGTGCCAAAAAAGTACTACATTGTATCAATAGCCGTATGTTACTATCGATTATTGTTCTTTGTCTATTTTTCGTGCGTAGGAGTCAATGTTTTCTGTGGGTTAATCCTTCGTATATATAATTATACAATACATAGGACACTTTTATTACTTCAAAGTATCAATGTAGCATTTAAAAAAAATGTTAAATAAAATTTGTTCATTTAAATAATACTTTGAGTTTGAAACAATTTTTTTTTAATCGCCATACCGTGGAATTCACCAAATCGGAGATACCCGGATGTGTAAATAATTCAGAGTTTTTCCACTGTCTGCTCATTATTATAATAAAGTACAAATGACATAGCGCTCATGGATGACAAAACACTTGTATTTCTTCATTCTTAATCAAGGCTATATTATTTTAATAATAATAAACAATTTACGAATTCGTGATAACAAGCTCTTTATTAAATTTTCTTTGCTTTTGGCACAAGAATCGACAACAAATTGTCTGCCATATTGGTATTTGTTGTGCTCACGTATTCAATGTTTTGAATCAACTTGTGTTAATTTTATTTTGGTTCCTCCACCTACAAATCAACGGTATTTCTTCATTTGGAACCAAGGCTACATTATTTTTAAAAAATTCTATCTGAGTAAGTTCATTATTAATTAGACAAACAAAAAAAAACCCCATCTATCGCAACATTGTATTGTTTTGACTTTTAAACATTTAATCCCATCTTGATTACGACTGTGAAAATATGTTTGTTTCAATACTATCGATTATTGATCGACATTTCAATTTCAATTATAAATAGTAAAAATCACTATCAATACCCAGCACTAACGGTCATTAATGTTGAGAACTGAAAGCTAAGATTGCAATTGCATTCACCAGTGCTGAGGTAAATCATTTGTACATATGATTGGGTAGTTTGCCTAAAATCCAATTACAGTCAAAACTGCATGATGGTGTAAATATGTACATGCATTAAAACACATCCGAGTTAAAGAAAAAGAACAATTGGAATAAAAGAGTAACTTTGCATTTTATATGTGAATATCAAATTTATTTCAATAGAGGTAATAAGTGTATAAATAAAAAATCATTTCAGGTGCCGTTTGACCCAAATATGAAAAAGAAGAAGAAGAAAAAGAAGATGCCTTTCGATCCGGATGCAGGAACAGCTGTTGATGGAGAGGTTGAGTCAGCTACTGATGGAGCTCCATCTACTCCCGTGACAGTAACATCTACACCTCAAGAAGAAGTACCTGATAAAATAGAAGACGGTAATATAAGCTTAAACTATAACAGACCATTTGTAAATTTTGGACTGGTTTTGTAGCCTACGATATTTGTTAGTGAATTAGGTGCACCTCTTTTTATTACATATTTGGATTTCCAGAACTTAAAAGAGCTATGTCGAATGCATAATTTTAAGTAAATCAAGGTTTTTCCGGTGTCGGCATTGAAGCCTGAAGATAAAGAAGAAAAAATAACTGCCCGAGAGTCACAAACCCCGTCTTCATTAGCCCAGTATAGAAGCAGAACGTTAAACGCCATTTCATTTCATTTCCAAAATTAAATACAATTCTGTCTCTTTCTTGCCCTTTTATATTTGTCAACAATAAGTTAGATGTGCATAATAATATCGGTCTATATTGCCTTCTGTTCTGTATGCTCATTACTGGCAATGAAAACACTGTATCGACCGATGCCTGTTCAACGATAACAGCGATTAAAATATGTACATAATTGTTGTCAATATTTCTGTTATCCATACATAATTGCTGTCAATATTTCTGCTATTTCATATACGGTATACTGTTACCAGCAATGCAAACACTGTATCAGTGGTGTCAGGATGCAATAGAAAGTAATGACAGGGCACAGTCTTCTTGCATTTGATAGTGAAGAATGATCCGTTTTTGTCCCATTCATTATATTCTCAAACGCTGTCTTCATAAGCTCAACCATAGCAGGACGATAAACCCCATTTCATTACATTTCAGTAAAGTTGTTCATTGTTCGCTTTTTTCTTCTCTGCCTATCACTTAACGTATTCATAAAATTCTATTTTGTACTTGCAGACATGTCCCTTGAATTTGGTGGCTTGAAAAAGAAGAAAAAAAGTAAAAAGAAGATTTTAGATTTAGATGATGTGGGAGAATCTTTACCTGTGAGTGTACAAATAGAGTAAAATTATTTATATTAAAGATACATTATGGGAGATTTTTTATAGAGAGTTGGCCATTCTTGCTATAACAGTTCAAAAGTAGATGATGAAAGAAGAATATATTGAAAATTTCAGTCAAATTACTTTATTCTGAACATAGTTATCATCGTTGTAATATTTGACTAGAAATGGTAGTGAAATGTGGCTTCACCTCGGTCGATCGTTTGATTGACAGGCGTTAACTCCACCTAGATATCTCGATTATCAAGTAAAGTTTTCAATGGCATGAGGAAACGCTCTACAGCGGCCTCGCTAAGTACTCTATCATTTAGCCTCGATCTAACTGACGTATTCTCATCAGGGTGCGCCATATTTGAATTTATCTATAAGTGAAATCTTATTTCAATCCGAGCTGTAGCCGAGCCATCCGTGGGTCTACAGAGTTGATTTTGGGCTTGTTTAAATAAAGATCTAATTTATAATTTCTATAACATCTGAAGCCTAAATTAAGACTTGCAATAATCAGATTTTGCTCTTGCATAATGTATGTTTAATGAAAGGGGAGCAGGACATTTGTCGACGGACAACTGCCAGTAGACAACTCCCCTCGAAGACAGCTGCCAACGACACTCGCTGGCGTGACAACTGGCAACGATGTTATTTTATTGGGGGGGGGGGTAAAAATAACCAATACCTAATATTTAAGCATTCTTTATTATTATCAGCACTAATCATTGATATGGAATTATTTTGGTTCAGTTAACTTCACATATTGTCTACAATAGCACTCACTCAGTCACTGACACAAAGTCATCATAGGTGAAGATTATGACCAATACCATGTAATTAGTTCAACACATGACGACTGTCTAACTTACGGACAATGTTCAGTACACGCTCTACTCAGTCTCTATACTTCTTGCATTGAACAGATCAGGGGTCTCGATAATAACTTGCTAATCATAACTTTTGCTTCTTTTATTTCTCACATGGACAATTTTATGTCCCTTTTTAACTGTAAAATGTTGTGACCAGTTTTTATAACAATTTTAGTCACGTTCATCTAGTATCATATACCTATTACTGCTAAAAGTAAAGTTTTAGCGCCTCCTATATTATGCGGAGTTACATCCCCATAAATATATATAATTTATGGATTTCCTTCACAAAATGGGATAGTTATTATGGAGTATATAGCAAAGGTAGGCACTAGTATTAATGCGGGTACTAGATGACGCGTTAACAGAATTTTATAACCAAGATTTGCGGCAGGGAATTTTCGATCGACAACCAACATATCATCAGAGTATAGATGCTAACATCGACACAAAATATTATTTGATTGATATCGGCATTGACGAATGAATGGCTGTTAAGTCAACAAATGACAAGGTTGTGAATGCTGACTGTTCAAAAGACGAATCAACGCAGAAATGTCATCAAAATTATTCTGATAAGCGATAGGCCCACTATGTTTCTTACCAGTTAACATATGTCATGAGAGAGTTCCTTGAAATATTGTCAACAATAATTTTGAAATAGTGTGACTGGAATAAAGCTTTGCATAATATTGTAAAATTCAACAGATAGACATTACTTCAATCCCACTTTTTCGAAATTGTAGTCTATGGTTATTCATACACTGTTAATCAAAACTGGACATTGCTAATCAATTTGCCTAAATTTTTCTAACTTGATTCTGCTAATCAAGTTCGAAAAGTTATCGAGACCCCTGGAACATTATAAATCTTTTTTTGATATCAAAAAAGACGAGTAGGAGATTTTATTTATCACCCAACCCTTTCTTACATGCGCAAATAAATAAATATAATTCTTTGGGTATAAATCAAATTCATGTAAAGCGATATCTTTACTGTAGATATTGCTCAGTATGAAATTTATCATACAAGCGATATCTACTGTAGAATGTGTTATAGGGTGATAATTAAATGTATAGATACATTATAGTGCTCATTCACAATAAAACTATACTATAAAAAAACAAATAAAATCAGTGGCAAAAAGATTAAGAGTTAAGTTTCTATAATGATTACATATACAGATTTACTTGAAATGTTTTCAAATTTAAATGTCCTATTTTTCCTCTTATTTCTAAACAGAATACAGACAACACAGAGGCACCTAAAAATGATGGTGGAGATGACTTTAGTGATGATTTTTCATTAGATTTTCCAGCTCGTAAAAAGAAGAAAAACAGATCAGTTGTATTTGATCAACAAGACGATGATGGTATGTATGTGTTCAGAGTTTCATATCTTATGCAGATTGAAGGGTTAGCTCAGGATGTGGGTGTCTCTTTTGAATTAAGGTGTAGGACTTGGTAATACTAATAGTTGTGTAATGGGGCCTAATTCCAAGCTTATTATTGAACCATGTTTGTACCGTATATGAACGTATATGTAAACTATAACATAGGCATCGTCTTGCATTCCCCCTATACACCCACCACCAGCTGTCAAAAAAACCCAGGTTAAAGGTTTTAAAAATCTATTAGGTACTCTGTACATAAAACATTACATTTAGAACTATTTCCTGTAGCTCACCATGGCCTTTATCAAGTCCTGTTTCATGCTAACAAGCTATTAGAAATTTGGGAATTAATGGGGAGATAACTTGTGTCGAAGTGAAAGATTGAAATGACTGTGCCGTCAACCATAGACATGCTGTTAACCTCCAGTCGTCATTAGACTAAATACAGTAGGCATATCAATGAAATAAGGATGCTTAAAATAGGATTGTTCACAAAAGGACTTTACATGCTTCTATATTGAGTATTTTGAGAGGCTCTTCACGCAGATGTAGAGGGCAAAAACGCAAAATTTTGGAATGTCTGCGTATTTTTACGGAACTCGAAATTGATCCACTGCGAGCTCTGAATGGGTCATTGTATTTATGGTATGCTGCAGGTTTTAATACACATAGGGAACAACTATCTTTCTGTAAAACATATTTAGTCAGTCATTTTCTACTCATTGTATTGCTAAAATGACTGATAACATTAATATTTTTATCATATTCAGATGAAAGTGGTAGTAGTAAGCTTAAAGAAGATCTAGTTGGTGATAAAACATGGAGTGGAACAGACAGAGATTACACATATGATGAAGTAAGTGTTCTTAGTGCAGTGTCTGATCCAATATTGATTTTCATTTTATGGACTCGACCTGATTGTTTACCCTTTCAAAATCAGCCAACAATTGCTAGTGTAATTAGACTACTCCGCATCTATTCAAATGGACAAATAAGAGGTGTGCAATTTCAAACCGTATGCATTGAAATCCAAGCTATATTAAGATCCAACAGAAACTATACCAAAAATTTGAGATAACAAAAGGAAAACAAGAACATATTACATATTAAAAAGATATTAACCTTTTAGCTCGCCTGTCCAACCTCGTGGGTTTTCTCCGGGTCCTCCGGTTTCCTCCCACTGCTAAAGACCCCTACGCACAATCGAATGATTGAAATAAAATTGAACCATGTATTAGTCCCAAAATGACCTAGTTTGTGTTGAGTGGACGTTAAACCCCATTTCTCTCTCTCTCTTTGTTGGATATCTGTATTGATTCCACAACTGTTCAATTTGAATGCAAGTTTAATATTGGGTTCCCGTTAATTTTGTAATTCTTGTTTTTCAGTTTTTACTAAGGGTGTTTGATATTATGAGAGAGAAAAACCCAGAGATGATTTCTGGTTTGTCTGTCATTGAGTCAACTGGCGTGGTTTCGAATCCCCGGTTGTATGTGACAAGGAGTAGGGTCGCCTGTCCAACCTCGTGGGTTTTCTCCGGGTCCTCCAGTTTCCTCCCACTGCTAAAGACCCCTACGCACAAGCGAATTGTTGAAATAAAATTGAACCATATGTTAGTCCCGAAATGACCTAGTTTGTGTTGAGTGGACGTTAAACCCCATTTCTCTCTCTCTCTATGTTGGATATCTGTATTGATTCCACAACTGTTCAATTTGAATGCAAGTCTAATATTGGGTTCCCGTTAATTTTTTAATTCTTGTTTTTCAGTTATTACTAAGGGTGTTTGATATTATGAGAGAGAAAAACCCAGAGATGATTTCTGGAGAAAAGAAGAAATTTGTAATGAGACCACCACAAGTTTTAAGAGTGGGAACCAGAAAATCTTCATTTGCAAATTTTACAGATATTTGTCGATTGTAAGTCAATTGGATTTTATAAAATACACTTATAGCCTATGTTATAAACCATACATGATTCACTTGAAAAACAGATTTGTTTTAGTTGTCCAGTAAAGGACAATTCCAATGTCCACGGATTCTTTCAGATGTGGTGGAACTGGATTTGTGATAGAATAGGAGATTTTTTGCTATGATTGATTTGTAACTAGGATTTTGGAGATTCAAAAATTGCTAGAACAAGAAATTAATTATTCTTATATTTTGTCTACAGAAGTAGAGAATGGTAATTTTTAATTTCAATAATTTCTGTTAATGTGTTCAGGAGTTATGGCCCTTGTTTCACTTTATTGCACCTTGTGAATGCTCTAACAACAAAAATTATCATCCGGTTTGTATGAAATTTTATATGCATCCTTTAAATTAGTGAAATGAAGAAGCCTATTGAATTTCAGCAATTTACGTTAATTAGAACTAGAGTTATGGCCTGTGTTTCACTTTGTTGGACCTTGTGAATGCTCTAATGGAAAAAGTTATCATTTAATCTGTATAAAAATTTATATGCATTATTTAAATTAGTGCAACAAAGAAGTCTATTGAATTTCAACAGTTTCCGTCAATTGCTTCTAGAGTTATGACCCTTGTTTCACTTTGTTGAACCTTGTGAATGCTCTTATCCGATCTGTATGAAATTTATAGGCATCATTTGGGTTAGTAAAATAAAGAAGCCTGTTGAATTACAGCAATTGCTTCGAGAAGCCTGTTAAAAATTTCAGCAATTTCTGTCAATTGCTTCGAGAGTTATGGCCCTTGTTTTACGTTGTTGAACATTGTGAACGCTCGAAGGACGTAAGTCATCATTCGATCTGTATGAAATTTACATGCATTATTTGAATTAGTAAAACGAAAAAGGCTGTCCAATTTCAACATTTTTTGTATATTACTTCCAGGATTGAGGCTCTTGTTTCAGTTTGTAGCACCTTGTGTAACCTCAAAGAATGAAAATTATGATCTGATCTGTATGAAATTCTCTTGTAAATTCCCCCCATTACCTACAAAAGATTAAATATGCGACAACCCTTGTTGACGCTAGGACGATTTAGCTGCTGTGGACGTATGTTTCATTGTCTGGCAACCGATCTTAGTAGTATTAGTATAGTTACGGTTTTAATATGAATTAATAGTACTGAGTACATTAATTTATCGTCTTATCTGTGTGTTGTTTACATTGATGTGACAAAAAATCTATTGAATTCCTTTTGGTGAATGTAGCTTTAAATACCGGGTGACACAAAAAAAGCGTTCATCACCTAAACTTGGTTGACGAGGAGTGGTCGTCAGGGACCTCCAGTGGTTCCAGCAGGATGGTGCCACCCCCCACACCTCAAACGAATCATTGGCATGGCTACAGCAGCGTTTCCCTGACCGACTGATCAGCAGCAGGTGTGACCCGGAGTGGTCACCGCATTCACCGGACTTGAACGCCCCAGATTTTTATCTGTGGGGATACCTTAAGGACAGGGTCTATGGCAACAACCCCCAGACTATCCCTGATCTGAAGGCAGCAATCACAGCAGCAATAAAAGCGATCCCAAGGGAAGAATGTGGGAGGGTCATCGAGAACTTTGCCCGCCGGATCCAGATGTGCTTACAGCACCGGGGAGCTCATTTAGAGCACATTTTTTGAGCGCCAGTTAAACAAAGAATTTTTGTGGTATTGACTTGAAACTTTGGAGATGTCTGCTACATAGACTTAACCTAATGTAGCTGAATTTTTGTGTTAATCTAAATACAATTTTGGAAGTTATTCGATTTTTATTGATGAACGTTTTTTTTGTGTCACCCTGTACCGTGTGCAATTTGATAATCTTTTTATACCATAATATATTTTCAGATTACATAGGCAACCTAAACACGTTCTGGCCTTTTTATTAGCAGAATTGGGTACTAGGTAAGTAGACGTCTAATAATTGTTCTGTTGGGATTTGAAATCGGAGATGTGAATGAGAGTAGAAAAAGCTTAGGACGAAAAATAGACACATTTGTTGGTGAATTTGTTGAACAATGATTAAGCTAGTGTCTTTTAATTTTTCCCCTAATTTGAATATTTTTAGTATGTATAAGGTTAGTTTCAAACAGTAAATTTACAGATTTTTTTTCTAAAATTTTGTATGAATATATACTTCCTATCCAACATACCCAAATTTCTCTTTACCTATTAGAAAACTGGGTCAAAAATTTGATCCAATCGATCCTTAAACATACATTATGCAAGAGCTAAATCTGCCTATTACAGGTCTTTCTTTAGGCCTGAAATGTTATCTAAATTATTACCTAGACATTAATAAACATATCCAGACCATAATCAACTCCCGATGTCATCGCTAGCCTGCAATGTTGACTGGATTAGGAACCGATTTGCTGCTCAACTTTCATTCATGATTAAATCATAAAATGGATAATCAAGATTATATTTTTTATCGTACCGACTTTAGTAATGATGATCGAGGCTAGGCTGAAAATTCAATCGCTAAATTCTCGGTTCAGTGTGGATCAATTTGACTGAAATTTTCAGCAAATTCCCTTTACATTATCTAGTTTTTAACTATTATACTGAGAACAAGAGGTCATTTTTAATTTTTGTGGATACATAATTTTTTCGTAATTTTATTTTGTTGGATGGGAAATGAATATGTCCAATTATAGATAAAAGGTCTATGATTTCTAGTTTTAAAGTACAAGCAAAATTGTGACTTGTAATTCATGATGTTCAGATAATAATTAGTTTTCTTCTTGACAAACTTTACAAACTTGATTATTTTTAGTGGGTCTGTTGATGGTAATAACCAACTGATTATTAGAGGAAAATATAATCAAAAACAGATAGAAAATGTATTGAGAAGATATATAAGTAAGTAGATTCAAAATAATATCAGACCAGTGATAAGGACTAAAAATTATGAGACTAACATTCAGAAATCAGGAGATAAATGTGTTTTAAATTACATATTTATCGATCTCTGTTGTTCAAAAAATGATATCAAATTGTTGTCTTTAACTTTTCTAACACTATTAATAAAAGTTTCTATCAATTCATGACCAAATAAATCCAAACATGATATTGCCACAGTGTTTTCCGACATGGAATATACCACTTGTTATATACAATGAAAATGGATGCCCTTAAAAGAAATTTAAAGTTAAATCAAATCATGCGAGTCCTGTTTCTTAATCTGGAGAAGGGTTCCAAATTCCATAGACTCTCCACTGACCTGACAACATATATATATTGTAAATGGCCAAGCCCCTGCCATAAAAAAAAAAACCCCAAAACTAAAGAAGTAACATTGGTCTTGGTTGTCGAGAAAAAAAGTTCAACTCAAAGAACGTTTAATTATTTGCAGTAATATTACTTGTGTAAGTGAGTAAGAGAATGATTTTGTTTTTTTACGTATATTATTTTATTAACTCAGTATTATTGTATTACAGAAGAATACGTGACCTGTCATACCTGTCGTTCTCCAGACACATTATTACAGAAAGATACCCGGCTTTATTTCTTACAGTGTGAAACATGCGGGTCTCGATGTTCTGTGGCAAGCATCAAATCTGGTTTCCAAGCTGTAACAGGAAAACGTGCTGCTATTCGTGCAAAGACTACATAAAAAAAAATCTCAAGTGGTTAGGATGTATGAAAATTTTTGTGATTGTTTAAAGCTCAATTTTGGTTTGAGTGAAGTTTATTTTTATTAGAACCTTCATTTATTGGGTGAACTAAAGATCATTGATTTTGGTGAAGTTTCATAATTAATTATTCATTCATTTGTGAATTGGGACTTTTTCACAATAATTTTGACCTTAGCAAGTTTATGTGGATCCAGGACATTAAAATGGATGGTTTATGACAGGACTAATAAAAGACCATCAAAGATGAATGAAAGCAGTAATTGAATAAAAATTTTATCGTCCAATTAAACATAATTATGTAAAAAGTTATTTTATATTATAGATATGTCTGTATATTTAACTCTCTGTGTCTGTTGTATTCAGATGTTAAAATTTCAGGATATTTATTTTGAATTAATGACTTTTGATTGTGTATCTAATTGCAAAGGTAATAGTAACTGAATTGTAAATGTCAATCCTGTTAAAGATATAGTGTTTTAATAACCATATCTTATCATCTTAAATATAAATAGAATTTTGAAAAATGTAAATAAGATTCCTATTACACTGAAGACTTGAAACCTAAATTGCTATTATATATTTGAATTATATGAATTAGATAGAATTAACACTGAAGATACAATTAAAGTTTAGTTTTAGTGCTAGATTTTGAAAATTCATATCCAACACATGTTGATATTTAAACCACTTACACACCTACTTCATATATAGAAAATAATTTTATTTGGCTGAATATCTTGGTGGTGAGTTGACCATTGATATATATATATCATATTTGAACATAACAGGAGTATTGGAAGTCAATTTTAATACTGCTAGCTGTATACGGGGAAATAACCTTGTATTTATTGAAGAAATAAACTGTATGAATCTAAACTTGACTCATATTTTAGGAGCACCCCTTTTAGCAAATAGTCAAACATTTTCTTGTTCTGCATAAACAGAGGATAAAAAGGAAGTACACCAAGTTATATCAGGATATAGTGAAAATGAAAAACCTTTTGATACATCAGATTCCTGTTCTCCCATGGTATCTGATGTAATGGGAAACCACACCAATTATCATGTTGCCATTGTTGAATTTGAAATATCAAACATGGTCTGTTTTATCAAATGTTGCATATTGTTGTCCACATTTTCTTGTGAACACACTACATTTACGATCAAACCTTTTAAAATTATGCAAGTTTTTTTTTTTTTACATTGGTGCGACGAAGAATCATGTTGAATACTGCTGACAGTGATTTCCTTTGCTCACTTTGTGGAATCTTATGAAGGCTCTGACACCAAAGGTTGTCATACAATCTGCATAGTTCAGATTAGTCAAACATAGAAGCTTGTCGAATTTCAGCAATAATGCCCTTGTTTGTGTCCAGAATCTTGAAAATGTGCAAATACAGTATCGGGGTTACAACTGTAGTAACCTGGTGATAATTCTTTAGTGATTTATGATTCTTTTGTCAACATGGGCTGAGCATACTTCACCATGAATAGCTCTGACAAGATTTATATATACCGGTACATCTTCCATCCCACTATATAATATGCTATCTAACTAACTCTGCTAGCTTGCCATCTCATTGATAGCTGGTTCAAGCTGCATGTTGTGAAATGGAGAAAGCTATCAAGATTTTACAAGGAGTTCTTGCCCCTGTTACGAGACATTTTAAATGTTACAGAATTTGTTATGAGTGTTTGGTAAGTCAAATAAAACACAAAGTTCTGAGTTGTACAGCAATTTTATGTGGAATTGTTTCACCTGTCACCCAAATTGTAAAATAACTGTCCGAATTGTATTACACTGAATGTGGGTACTGTTGTAGTCCCAGCTACGATCAGTGGTTCTCAACATTTTTTTGCCAAATGCACACCTTGGAACACATGAAAAAATAGACGCACACCTGGCTAAATATAGTTGAATTTTGCAACATAAAAACATGGCAAGTCATAGACGGCATACAACCATAGACACAGACTAGTCATAAGATACAACCATAGACACAGACTAGTCATAAGACACACAGCAAGACTCAAACTAAATAAAGAAAAACACAGCCATGAACTTATTTTATTGCAGTGTTTCGAATCTCATCAATCAAATGGTTGGCTTAGTGTGCTGTTCAAAATTTCGCGACACACCTGTGTGCCGCAGCACACTGGTTGAGAATTAATGTTATAGATCATAGGTGAAAAAAATGAAATGAAAAGGTGTCTTAACTGAATGAAGAATAGCATAATATGCCACATAGCATGCTGAGGGAAATTTTCCCCCGACAGCAGCACTACGGACTACTCTTATATCGACTTCCACTTGTCAAGCTTTCTTTTAATATGCACGCTAATGTGTAAGCCTACACTGGACCTGTTTTTGTTTGTTTGTTTTTTGTCTTCTCCAAACGACTATATGTCTATGGCTAAAATGCTAGGTGTTCCGTCCTGCACCACACAGGGTCTAAAAGGGGACGCGATGATGAGCTTTGCCTGATGAATTTGAGTTTTTACACCCCCTTGATTTTTTGTGCCCCCTCGCAAATGGAAAAAATCATGCGGTTTCCAATGCTTAACCAGTTGCAAACATATACCATGGGTCAGATATGCTACAAATCGACTATGGGATGTTCCACACAACCCAATATTATTTGGAGACCCCCCTGCACACACACATAAATATTGTTTTTTGGGGGCAGACAGGATCATGTTCCTCGTGCAAAATCATGGGTCACCACGCTTCTGTCACTAAAACATTTACAAACACTCTAGCCAACAACATCCCAATATAACGCTATCTTTAACATACATTATGCAAGAGCTAAATCTACCCATTGCAAGTCTTTCTTATAGGCCTGAAATGTTATCTAAACTATTAATTAAACAAAACAAGACTATAACTCTTGATGGCATCGGATACTCAAGATTTTAACTAGATTAGAAACATTCGCCATTTAAAAATTTAATTTAAAAATGGGAAAGCAAGGCTAATTCTCGAATATACCAGTGGCCTGGTTACCATTATGCACATATCTTGCCAAAACTACAAACGGTGACAACTTGGCTCAGAATGGTGTAATTTGAATGAAATTTTCAATATTTTCATTTCACATTATCTATTTTTGAACTATTATCGCAAGAATGGTCAGCTCTTTATCTAACTCTTACATACTGTATCTTTAATGACTTAGTTCAAAAACATGCTGTATTTAATTTTTTGTACGGTACCTAATAATGGAAATGGCCAATAAGTTTTATTTTAATTGAAGTAATTGCGCTGCTGGATTTTTCTTCTTTTTTCCGGTGGGGAGGGGGTATGGGGGCAATTTATCACTTGTCAAGTGTTATTGTTTAGAACATTTTCTGAATCTATAGCATGCCGGTCGGATAATTAATGTGTGAGGAAACCCGCGGATGATAGCCGCAACCAATCACATCGCTCGCTATAAAATACGGTAAATGTGGGGAAATCCATTCTCGTGTTAGCTACACTGCATCATCATGACTGTGCGGTTATCGGAATTTGGTGTGTAGAATATTCTTTTTCAATGTAGACAAGGAATAGGGACGATACGGTTATACAGATATGATGTAGCTTCTTGTTAGAAAATAAATCGTTGGTGAGTTATGAAAAAAATATAGGTTTTTTGTTTCTTTTATATTTTACTTAGTGATTACACGCTTTTACAACGTGCTTGGTCTCTCTTTTTCAATCGGCCTTGACTTAATGTTGTGGGCAAATTGGGAGAGGTCTGGTTCTGTTGTGTTTATGAATAACTTTGCTTCAGTGGGGCTGGATAATATCTGAGGAATATTTGATATTCATTCATCAATAAGTGACTTCTTATTTGATATTATTTATAATCAAAGGGTAAATGATTACACGTAGTGTTGATTTTATTCATTTGATCGATTGTGTAAAGTTGTCCCCGATATACCCACATTTGCACTTTACAAGCCATGATGCAATTTGCAAACTAAAAATTAAATTGTGAAAAATACAATCCGTGTATATTATTTATGACAAAATGTTTACTGTCAAGAAAAATATCTAAAACTAATAAAAAGGTAACCTACTAACTGAAAGCATTAATTTTCTATTTAAGACTAAGAGATTTCAATTTAGTCCTAGTCTACTCCAAAATTGATCACGAACTGTAAATAGTTCTTTGCACACCATGTACACAGGTCCTTTGTTTTTTCCCATTCGAATGATTAGATGTTTTTCCTTTCTAGACCCGCCATCCTACATCCCTGACAAGAGAAATCCATGCTGGAATTCCCAGTAAAATTTCTCAGCCAGAACAATATACCATTGGATCAGACCTCTCGTTTGGGCAACCAGCTCCTTGGCCTATTCACTAAGCCACTGTAACTCCCTGTCTGTTTTTACAGCTGGAGCATCAAGATCTTTCTGAAATCAAGTGAAAGATTCTGAAATATTATATTAATGTATGTTTTTTGTAGAGCTCGTAAGTGCTTCTGTAATTTTTAATTTTGGGTATACCCAAAGTTAAATTGGGCTTTCCTGTGGCAGCAGATGATTGTTTTAAGTGCACTTGGTTTTCATCATCAGTCCTTATAAAGAGATCCATTCTATTGCTGTGATATTTTTACCGAACCACTGTCAAATCCAGGATGTCGTGATATGTGGATCAAGAATATTATGCTGCTTATGCCCAAATGAATAATCTTACCCCAAGTTTTACAAAATTCCATTGAAAAGAATTAACTGCCAAAATTTCAATGGAAATAAAGTTCTCATCCATTGATGTTTTGTTTTTAATTAAATGTTAGTAATCCATTTAATCAAATGGATTAAGCTTTGGAAAAATTATATTTTTTCTGGGAAATGCATAATCCTGATCGGTGACTTCAACTTTGACAGTTAAAGTAGCTAAGTCTCTAACTCAGTATCATCATGGACCTTATCATCCAAAATCTTCGACATTGAAAATACGATTTATTTGTCAATTTAAATCAACATTGATGTTGTAATCTTACCGGGAAAATATTTAAGACAAAATAAACATTTTACCATTTAACAAGGGACTCGAAGAATGAGGCTACGACATATTTCACAAGTCATGTCAAACGATGACGGCATATTCATATCTGGAGAGAATGCGCAATAAATACTATGTAGACTAGAATAAACAGACGCTAGAGATTGTCATTTGATTGAGACTTCTGGCGTATTTTGCCGAACATAACTGATTTGAAATTAGAGTAAAAACGGAAACGATTCAATGTAAATCAGTTTATATACATTCATATTACATTATTATATGCGTTGCGACCCATTTTTGTCAATTTCTAGGTCCAAAATATTAGCGATTTAGCTCCTTTGAATTTAAAAAGTATAAAGAGAAACCACATTTAATATTGTCAACAGGTTTATCAAATACTGTACATATTAAAAGTGATGTAATTTTGAAAAAATACTTCAATTTATCCCCTTTTTAAAAAATTTATATTTTTTTTTTTTTATAAACAAAACTTTAAACCGTATTAAAAAACATACGCCTTTTAGTGTGTCATTGGCCTCCATAGCCAGGTGATGTTTTCAAGTAGATCTTTTTTATGTAAATCGATCATGTGACAGTCTAGTAAACATTATCTACCTCTTCTTCTGTATTTACTTTTGGTTATAGAACTTTCAGTCCAGATTTTATCTATTGAAACTAGAAATAAAAAATGTCCTAATTTATTTGTGGCCCTCTGGCTCTGAATATTGTTAGAATTTTAGATGATTTGATAGAAAACTTATTTATTATAAACATTGGTCTTGATAAAGAATATTTTATTTATTACTATACTAAAATATTACAAGCTTTACAACTCTTTATATAATACCAAGGTCTTCTATCTTTTTTATATCTATGTGT